TGAAATCCCCTGCGTAAGGAATGATGCGGACACAGATTTTTGTGTTTATTTCCTTCATCGATTTTCTCACAGACAAGAGGTAGAGTTACTAACTAAAACTTTAGAATCTGTGACGAAACAAAACGGTTGCTTCCACAATATATAATGGCATATAATGAATTGGCTCGTTCTTTCGATGGTCGCGTGTATAATATGATTCTAATCGATTTATAACTTTCTAAACATATTGTACATCGTATGGAAATCTCTGTCAATAGCTTACGCGAATAGTACGCTTTTAACCGTCAAAAACGAGAAATATAGGTATGTAAAAGGTAGCTTATTTATAACTTAGGTTAACTACTACTAGGATGTTTTAAGGAGCCGTGTCTCTCGTGACGTATTTCGCGTTTTAAACCGTTAAAAGTTTTTGATTTTAATTTTCCTACTGATTCGTACTTGGATACTACTTAATGTCAGTAACCTAAGATATAACAATGTAACATTAATTCAAAATAAGTTAAACGTAATGGCTTGTGTAAGTGACGCGCATTCAAATATAGACCACAGACTAGACAGTAATGTCTACTTGTTATTTATTTAATGCTTCAACGTATAATAAGCGTAGATTAGTGATACCGTAGAGAGAGGGTAAATACAGAACAGAATTGCTGAGAATTAATTGTCTGTCTATCATCAGAATTCCGATAGCAACACAGTTAAATTAAGTATTTATTTTTCTCCTGTTGCTGCTATAGCAATAAATTAAAAAAAAAACATAAAATTTGTATTATTGACTATATTGTTATGCTATACAATATAGTAAATAATACGGAGACCACCGTCCGCAATTCCAACTCGCACTTTGCCGGTTTTATTTCTGTTGAAAACTTGGCACATAAGTTATAATATAAACTACTGCCGTATTGACTTTTGGTTTCATAATCTGGTGTATTTCGACTGGGCTGGTAATTGGCCTTCGGCAGTCTAGACACTTGGTTGTGCCTGGCCCTTTGTTTTTGGATTTTATCCCTTGTCTGTAGCCCCTTTGCGAGTTGTTTTGTAGCCGAGCATTTAAATATATAATAAATTATCGAATATGAATCTCTTTGCTTACAAGTAAAGCAACGTGCTGCGATTTCGCTGTCTTGCCTATTTATATGGAAAATTAACCGGCGTTACTGTTTGTGTGTTCTATACTGTGCCATGATGGTACTGTACGTAATAAAATAACGTAAATTGAACCACAATGGCCCAGTTTAATAGATAATCATCTAACCTCAACAAAACACGCACACAATGTGAATATTATGTACTGAAAATCTTTTTGCGAATTTAACTATTTACTGTCATTAACAAAACACCATAGTGTAGCGGTTATTAAAAATATTGTTCGTTTTGTAAAAAGAGATTAAACGGTTTAAAACGCGATATATAGTTAACTTATTTAAAGCTTTGATTATGCGCATTCTTTGGTTTCGGTTATGGTAAACCGTCTACGTCTGATTGAGTATAATTTATTTTATTATTATTTTTACCACCCAAAGTCTTTTACAGTACAACAAGCTGTGTCAGCGACTTCGTCCGCGAGAGTCGCTATTGGGCATGGGCATCCAAATTTTTCCTTTCCTTTTCTTTTGTTGCAAACCCCTTATAAACTTTAAAAATATTAATATACAGCTTTAGTTTGTAAATATTATTTAACTCTGTTAAGACGTTTGTCGCGTCCCTTCCCGTCGTTCTTACAAATAATCTTAAAAGATAGACGCATAGTGTCGCGGACATTTTTTTTAGATCATTTTTAAAGGAATCATTCTTTCATATTTTTTGAGTATTTAAAAACCATTTTTGCAGTGTACGCCTCGGAAACCCATAGTGATAAATGATTTTCCATATTTTTGACACATTTCTCGCTGTATCTTCGCCCCTATTAATCACAGGACGATCTTTTATAGCCTATAGCCTTCCTCGATAATGCTCTAACCAATACAAAAATAATTATTCAATTCGAACCCGTAGTTTACCCAACTTGTTGAATCTGTTCAATAACAACAATTAGAACACGTCGTATTCAAACAAACAAACAAACTCTTCAGTTTTATATATTAGTACAGATTTAAAATTTAAAGTATGTTCTTTAGATTATTTATATTTGAATAAAAAATATTTTATAAATAATAATCAAGATTTACGTACGATTTACGTTTACGTATTTAGAGAATAAATATAATATTTTATACTTATCTCTACATACAATGTAATCTATTTTAACAATTTATTCGCAAATATTCAGCGAACGACAGAGTTAAAGGTTATATACGTAATTTTGAACGTTTTGGAAAACCCATTATTATTTATACTTCAACATATTTTTTGTGATTTTGGGTTTTCTCCAATTCGGTTGTAATGAGGAAATTTCTCATGAATAAACATTATACAATTTTTTCAGATTAAAAAATAAATGTTTATTTATGAGGTACAGGCGTTTTCAACTTATTTATTATTTAGCCTTTGACATACTCCTACATAATTTGGTTTGAATAAGTAAAATAATTTTAAAATTTTTCAACAAAGTTCTATCTTGACTTATGTAACTCCTAACAATGTTCATTTATTTATTTATATGCAATTCCTTGCAGCTAATAGTCCATTTACTTATTAATTGACAAAATAATAATGCCAATTTTTATAATAATTATAGCAAGATCTATAATAAAACACTTTAAACGGTTTTAAACGCGAAACATTTATTTTTTTAAATTACGACTCGACTCATGAGTTATCACGATCGCAGAAAAACATGAGATAGATTGTGTCGTTGTTAATTGACAAATAATTTTCGCATTATATAACCGTTAAGTGTTTTATTTAACGTGCACGTTTTATGTAAAGGACAGGCAATGTTTATGTATAGTGTTTTACTTTTGTGTCGCTGTCTTTATTTTATCCACGAGCGTTGAAAACATGTGTCTGTAGCACCGATATTAAAAGCAAGATACGGAGACAATATAAATCTCCCTCCACTCTGCTCTCTAAAATGTATTTTGTATTAAGAAAGTTTTACGAAACTCTCAACGAAGTTTCCAGCTGGAACATTACTTTATTAGGGTGCGGTACTTGTAACTTGAGAATCATAAAATGTCAGGACTTCGAAGTATTTTATCACCTACCCTCTATTTTCAGTTATGAGGCCAAGAATTTGATTTTCGGTCTAATCCAAAGATACACTTTACACACATTGTTAACACAAAACATTGAAAGATTCCTGTTAGAACTTAACTAACTCAATAAACTTTGAGTATCAAAAACTGTAAAATGCATTACGATTAAAATGATGGAAATGTAATGATCGCGGCCTAGGCTTTGCAGCAGCCGTGGTCAGATTGAATTAACAATAAGTTAACTAATACTTTCATGTTTTAAACAACAGACCAGAAAAATGAGGTACTATTTTACTTGCAACTCATTAATAGACAATATTTGTGATTTTAAAAGGTTAATAATACTAATTTTTTTATTTTTGTTGTCTTTTTTTTGTATTGTATATTGTTAACTGACTTTTGGAATTCAATAACTACCAATTTTATAAACTAGTTATAATAGAACTTATTGTTCCACTGTTGAACACAAGTCGTCTTTCACAAAGGCGGAGATTATATTGTTTGATAGGTACGTTAGATCAATTTTAATATCTCTTTCTAAAACTAAAGAAACATGATGCTCTGTCGACACATTTTTGCCTTTGGTATTGGAAATTACAGACTTCTGCGACGGACATCCGAATATCCAAGGCCATGTCGATGTTTTATATTTATGGGATTTTACCTATATCTATTCCTCAATTAAAAAAAGGACAGTGTAAATAATGGATTAGATAAATTTTTAATTTCTATTATTTAATATCCAAAATTCCAAATTTAAGAAACTCCCTCATACTGTAAATTATTCTTTAATTGTGAAAAGCTTTCTAATAAATCTTTTCAAATTAAAGCGAACTGAAAAAATCTATCAGAATATTCATTCCCTTCTAACCTAACTCTTGCGTGAAATCCTTAAGATTATTCACTCCCTTAAACCCATCCTCCAGGAATGACATCATAACACCGTATAATTATTTCCTAAAAATATTTTCAGCGCATATATAGGCATACATTTGCAATCTCATTATTGAACAAGGAATTTGTCCCGAATCGTGGAAACATACAAACTTGCAAGTATCGAATTACCCTATCTCACTTCTCCCAAGTTCAGCTAAAATTATGGAGAAAGTTGTCAATACAAGACTACTCAATTATCTGAAGACATGCTAGCTAATAACCAATTTGGCTTTAGGCATAACAAATCGACAGAAGACGCAACTTCTGCTCTTGTTGACACTGTTAGCTCAAAATTGGACGAGGGTCAGGTGTGTGGTCCTTGTGTAGCGAAGCTTTTGACACTACTCAAGACCAATTTGTTGGAAATTGAAAGACGAATGGCTCTTAATTGGTTGCCTCTTACCTATCCACCAGAAAACAAGTAGATAGTTTAAAAGGCTTTGATAGCCTCCTACGGCTTGCCACAGGGCAGTGCAATCAGCAGTTCTCTATTTTTAATCTATATTTTTTACACTAAAGCTTTCCAACGCCAAGTTATTCTCCTTCGCTGACGACACAGCAATTATCTTTTATTTACATTCCTTTATTATTTAAATACTTAACATACTTAGCAACTTTGTTAGTAGATAATAAGATTTTCATTGTTTTTCTCTAAATGCGTCGGAAGAGTCTAGCCGCCCACGATAAAGGGAATCCTAGTGTGGGGGCTAGCACAACCTATAATGAAATGTACACAGATTTGGTGAATAAAGAATTTGTATTTGTTGTTGTAAAAATTATAATTTGATTAGCGACCTGTTGGTACCGGTAGAAAACGAACCCAGGATCCGTCGATTATAAACCATTAATTTCTATTTGACCAAAGAGCCATACATCTATCCAAGTACCTTTAAAATCTGTCTTTAACACCAAATTTCATTCCAGGGTTTAACCTTCACAGCATGGCATCAAAGGACAAAGTTAGAGAAGGTTCTACTGGTGACCTGTTGCGCTTTGTTTCTGATGGTCATGTTGACAATGACTATGCTAGTCTGCTTGGAAACCACCACAGCACCGAGGGAACCGAGCAGAAATGTTGGTGAGTGGAATAATCTTATAGCTCTGTCCGTTTCTTATTTCTATAATTATTTTTAATTTTAATGTATAAAAATGATTGTTTGCATATAAACAATATATTTTCCTTCTTTTTAATAAAACACTTTTTACGGTTTAAAACGCGATTAGTTAACATATTTTTCTTTTTGTTTATTTTAACTGCGGCCCTCGTGTCGGATGTGTTACAGCACGGAGGGACTGTCAACTAATCATTCTTCATTTTTAAACCGTTAAAAGTGTTTTAAACGCAAAATATTATATTACTTACCTATTTGAGAGGGACAGACTGAAGTACATAATAATATATAGCAATATTTGTTGCTCGCTAAACAAGCGTGTCTAAGTAGATAAAAATGACTTGCAAAATGTCGTGTCGATATTTCCTGTAACATTAGATGAAGTCAAATATCTTTGCTTGTGCTTACTAAATATGCCTGAAAGTCACTTTTCGACTTAAACATTGAAACATAGACATAAATAAATTAAATATTGTCTATAGATTACGCAAGTAGTACATATTTAAATAAAACACTTTAACGGTTTTAAACGCGATATATTAGTTAAACTTATTTGAAAATAATTTTTAACTTCGGCCCGACGTTTTGGATGCTTTGCAGGAGCCGTGGTCACGGATAAATAAATTTACGAGTACAACCATGAGCCACACAAAATCTATACAAGACTTATTGCTATATATCTATACTAATATATAAAACTGAAGAGTTTGTTTGTTTGAACGCGCTAATCTCAGGAACTACGGGTTCGAATTGAAAAAATCTTTTTGTTGGAAGCGAAGCGCGATATGACTAATACAAGCGAAGATACAGCGAGAATTGTTAATAAAACGGGGGAAATATTTCATATCTGTGGGCTTCAGATACGTACGTTGCGAAAACGGTTCAAGACACCCAAAAAAATAAATACGAAAGAATGATTCCTCTTTAAATTATCTAAAATATGTCCGCGGCACTATATTATGTCTATCATTTAAGATTAACTTGCAAAAACGACGGGACTCGAACGACGGTCAGCTTAGATTTATAAAGATTTAGAGGTTTGCAAAAACAAATTTGGATGCCCAAATAACTATTCTACGCGAAGTCGCTGACACAGCTAGTTAATAAATAAAAAAGGAAAAAATAACAAGCACACACTTTATCGATATAGAGCGACGCCGACATTGAACTCAGCGACAAGGTTTACGTATTCATAGGATATTGATCCGCTGAAACACGAAAAATTCCGCTGAAAGAATATTACGTCTCTTTAGACTTTAGATAATTGCGTTCATACTTATGTAACTAAACACAATTAATTAACATTCATAGTTAGTAAAATACTGTCTTTACGCGAAAATAATTTCCAAACAAGTTTAATATATATCGAGTTTTATACCGTTAAAGTGGTTTTAGTTTGTATGGTAAAATTCCGTTTCACTGAACGATTTTATTTTCAGGTAGTTTAATAGAATACCCACTGTGCCCATCGGTCGAAGTAATTTATAGTTTCTCCGGAATTCGAATATAGGACCGCTCGCAATTTTCGGCATGACGATTAACCATTGAGCTTCGGGTAATTAATTACAAAATCTAGAGTATTAAAACACGTATTTTTTTATTAAGCAATTGTTTCTGTATTTAAATAAAACACTTTAACGGTTTAAAACGCGACATATTAGTTAAACATATTTGAAAATTATTTTTAACTTCGGTCTTAATAAGTTTGACTAAAATCATTTTCAATAAGTTTAACTAATATTCGCGTTTTAAACCGTTGAAGTGTTTTATTTAAATGTGTACTACTCGCGTAAACTATAGACAGTATTTAATTGTTTCTGTATTTTTTTCTGAGTAGTAATACAAAATAAAACACTTTTAACGGTTCAAAAAAGGAAATGTTTTAGTCAAACTTATTTACAATTGATTTCAAGTACGGGCCGACGCTTTGCTACAGCCGTGGTCAAGGTACTGAAACTGGTGTCTTTAATGTCATAGAAAAACAGCTACGCTAGCGCCATCTATTGACGTCGGGCCGTAAAATAAATTGTTAATAAGTTTCACAAAACTATATAAATACCTGGCTCAAACGAAATTTCGCTTAAATATACATAACTATCTTTCAGAAGCAGATCTGTGTCTTTCTGGTACCTGCATCTACACAGCCAGCGAAGTGATAAAAGCTCTGGACGAAACCCAGAACCCTTGTGATGACTTCTACCAGTTCGCGTGTGGTGGATGGATCAAGAATAACCCAATACCAGAGGGGAAGTCCAACTGGGGGATATTCAGCCAGATTGAACTGCAGAACCAGCTGATAATTAAAACTGCTATGGGTAAGTGGATACTAGGTTCGAGGCCAGTGGAAGGCCTGCCCTGGGGGGCACAGACATCTGATCTACCATTTCCCTGTAATTGGTCTGTTAAACTTAATTTATAAATATCAATCCTGCATTAGTATTTAAATAAAACTTTAACGGTTTAAGATGCTGTCTATAGTTTACGCGAGTAGTACACATTTAAATAAAACACTTTAACGGTATAAAACGCGATATATTAGTTAAACTTATTTGGAAATGATTTTTAACTTTGGCCCGGGCGTTTCGGACTTTCAGCAGCCGTGGTCACGGGGAGACTAAAGATGTAGGATGTCGTTTTAAATCGTTAAAGTGGTTTAAAATGCGTTACATTTTAGTTATTTCGAGATTATTTTAACTACGGCCCGACGTTTCGGTTGCTTTACAGTAGCCGTGGTCACGGGGAGATAACGTCAACAAGAAACGTCGGGCCCTTAGGATAATAGACACTACAGACAGTTTCTATATTAGTATGGTAACAATGCTTACCGATGACATTTTTGTATGTCTGTTTCAATTCTTTTTATAGAAAAAAAATGGCCACCATAACGCTAATTGAATCAGAAATTGTAAAATTAATTTTATTCACATACATATAAATAAATATATCGGTTTTATTTTCTTATTTTCAAATAAAGCTTCAGAGTTAGGTTAGTTTTACGGATTCGTTGGTCTTAGGTATGTATTCCGAAAATTCAACAGGTCGTAAATTACGATATTCCTACCGCTCATTTGAGTGTATTTTTAATGAGAAAAAAATGGAGGCTTGTATTTAACCTTCAATTCTGGGAAGCGGAAATTCGTGAAGCGTGTTTTCAGATTTTCATAATCTGATTAGGGCGGCCGTGCAAATTTGAACATCACACGAATTTTTGTTTGCTATTTCCACAAGTTATTAGCGTCGTTTGGAGAAGTTATTGAACGACTTACTCTAGCAGTGGACATAATTTATTCTCAACGATTTCACGTCAACTTAAATAATCAGATATTACATCTATAGCTATTTGTGTTACGTATATATTCAAATAAAAAAGAACTTTTCAACAGATGTAATAAAATTGAAATTAAAATCAGGCAAATATTACAGCATAAAATGTAATAAACAAAAACGTAAATAAATAAAACAAGGTCAACAGTTTAAAATGCGAAAGATATTCATTAATTTTTTTATTCATTTAAATAATCATGAAATGAAGTCCTGCAGTCATCGTTTTTATATGAAATACTTTTTATCTTTCGTTTAGGCGAGTAGTATACGTTTAAATAAAACACTGTTAACGGCTTGGAACGCGAAATATATTAATTGATTTTAATAAGATTATAAAGGTGAAGAGTTTGTTTGTTTATTTGTTTAAACGAGCCTTTCTCATAAACCACTGGTTCGAAATAAAACCTTTTTGTATTTGATAGACCATTAGTTATCGAAGAGTGATGTTATACATTATACAGTCTATGTTTAGTGTATAACATCAGGGTGCGATAGGATCAAATTTGGTAGAAATTAATGCATTGTTACCAATTATAGAGTATTAACATAATAGTATTGATCATGAAAAACAACTACGAATGCCAAATTAGCAAAATACCTATAAAATCTTTTCTCTTTCCAGAAAAAGTAAATGCAAGCGATTCCAATGGCGCAGAGGCAAAAGCTCGTATCTATTTCGATGCGTGTGTGGACACAAACGAAACGATAGAGAGACTGGGAGAAAAGCCCCTGATCGGGATTATCAAGAAACTTGGGGGTTGGCACATTCTACCTAACACACTAGTCAGGACCCAGAAGTGGGATCTACAAAAAATGCTGCAAGATGTTCAGAATAAGTGAGTACTGTAACTCGTGAAATGGTTGTTTAAAACTCGTTCAATGTAGGTAGATATTGCTGATGAAATCTTTTGTAAATAAAATTAAAAAATAAATCTTGTGTTCTCGTGAGTGTTAGTTACCATGCTTCTCCGAAACGGCTCGAGCAATTTTTATAAGCACGTTAAGTTGGTCTGAGAATCGGTTGCTATCTATTTTTCGTACCCCTAAGTCATAAGGTTATTTTATTTATTTTGAAGATATAAAACAAATATAAAATCTAAAGACATATTTTTAACCGGTCGTGACGGTTGTCTAACTAATTTTAACTGACTGAAAGATAAACTATATAAACAAAAGTAAACGATTCAAAAGTATAAACTAATAAATATTCTACCTTAGCATACCTAGCATGAAACGGATTTGCTATTGCCTTGCTTCTTTCCGGATCTTTACGGGTTTACTGTAAATAGGTATTCCGCCCTTTTTCTTAAATTAATACTCTCCCAACATCAAGCTTTACTTTTAAATAGTTGTTTTAGTCCCCCACCCTAAGCGTCTGCCCATACCCACTTCTCGCCGAAGGGGGTATTACCAGATCCCCACACTCAAAAAAATCCTTAGAAAAAACCTATATGGCAAACAATAATATTCATGTTTCGAATGTTAAATTCAGATATAACTTGGGCGGTCTTTTCAACTGGGCGGTGACTGAAGACGATAGAAATTCTACCAAGCACGTTATAGTGGTAAGGAATTTTAATAATATCATCTACATGTATGAATGTTGTGTTGGTTTCAAAAGTCATAAAGATGCACTGATTTAGCTGAAACATGATATATGATGTGCCACCCGTGTTTTTATCTATTTATTCATCAATTACATATTCACAACCTCGAAAGAAAATATTTTAACGATCAGATGTGTACCTGCGACTGCGCTATAAGTAAAGCGGTTGTCAGCTAGTGTTTTTCTAGTTTCCGGTGGATGGCGCGTAGACCGACAATGGAAAATAAATTTTTGTCAGCTGTATTAGAGTAATAACATTTAGTTTTTTTTTAGCTTGACCAAGGCGGTCTGAACCTACCTACCCGCGATAATTACCTCAACAAAACAGCCCATAAGAAGGTTCTCGATGCTTATCTGGATTATATGACGCGTATTTGCGTCCTCCTCGGGGCAAATAAAACAGAAGCGAGGACACAGATGAATAAAGTGATACAATTCGAGACGGAATTGGCGAACATAACTACTCCGTCTGAGGATCGACGAGATGAGGAAGGGCTTTATAATCCGTATACAGTGAAACAGTGGCAGAGGGAAGCGCCGTTTTTAAACTGGAGCATGTTCTTCAACGATGCCTTCAAGTTTGTTAACAGGACGGTAGGTGTCTCGTAACGAACAAAATCTATACTAATATATAAAGCTAAAGGGTGTGTTTGTTTGAACGCGTTAATCTCAGGAACTACTAGTTCCATTTTTAAAATGTATTTTAGTGTTAGTTAAAGCATTCATCGAGGATGGCTATAGGCTAATAAACGCGCTATGACTAATAGGAGCGAAGTACAGTACAGTAAAGTTAAAATAAATTTTATGAAGTTAGACGTATAAGAGACGTATAAAAAATTAGAAAAACTGAAAATTCACTCTTTCAGGTTTACGTATTCACCCTTTGAATTAATGCAAAATCTTAGTAAAGGAACCTATTACTGAGATATAGCTGTTTGTTTGTTTACCTGTCAATGGAAGTATTCACAAAAAACTATTTTACGTGGATAGTTAATAATGAAATTAAAATAATTATTTGTTAAGTCTCCATAGATTTTTGTTCGATTTAAATTTTCTCAAAAAAACGGAGAAAGGCTAAATACGAAACACGTATTTCGTATTTAGCCATTTTTCCAAGTTGCAGAATAAATCGTGCGCGATACGCACTTGGCCGTTTTTGTTAAATAAAGTTTTTCTTAACAGTAACTATACTAAACGGCGTCTCTATTCGTTTACTTTAGATCTATCATAATGTGTTGTATATTTTTCAGATAACAGACGATGAGAGGATCGTTGTCTACGCACCTGAATATTTCAGAAATTTGAGTAAGGTTCTCCGGAAATATAGTAAAACGGAAGAAGACCAGAGGTTAGTGCGCGATATGTTTTACCTCCAAGAATATTTATATGTTTTTAAGACCTTACTTAACGTTAAATATACTTATCTTCGCTCACAAGTAGAAATTATAATTCAAGGTACATAACGTAATCACGATAAATCCATTTTCGTATATTTTTCAGACAAGAGAAGAAACTCTTACCTATTTTTAATTAAAACAATCTTCGAATATTCAAAAAACAATCAGTTTGTATTTTTTTTTAAACTATAATGTCATTCACATGTTATTGCACATGATGGCATTATCTAAATTAAACATATATTTCGATTTTTAAAAATTACCATATTGGCGGAACCAATATTTTGTTGCCGCCGTGGGACCCTGCAGATGCCGGTTCAAGTCCTACCCATTTCGTAATCCTTCTTTGAATCTAAATAAATTTTCTCTTCTTAGTGACCAAATTATCGTAAGAATGTACGTCTTGGTATCAATTTGTTTTGTAATCATAATCTAATTTAAAAAAAAACACCTTAACTATAAATTAGTTAAACTTGTTTAAACACTATTTTAACTACGGACCGATATTTCCGATGATTTGCAGCAGCCGTGGTCACGGGGAGAGCGTTAAAGTGTTTTATTAAAATGTGTACCTACTCTACTCGCGTAAACTAACAGACAGTGAACAATCTATTTTTTTTTTCAGAACACTGACGAGTTATATGATGTGGCAAGTGTCGCGTTCCCTATCGACCTACCTCTCTAAGCCTTTTCGAGATGCTTCTAAAATATTGAGGAAGGCGTTACTAGGATCCGAGGGTACTGAGGAGTCTTGGAGATACTGTGTCACAGATACTAATAACGCTATAGGTAAGATTTACGAAACAGAATATACAAAATTCAAGGATGTACTTGCGGCGGGGGAAAGAGGGCGCTGCCTCCGTTGCAAATCCGAAAACAATAACTTTCTTGTCGTGAACTAAAAAAGGGTCTAACTAACTGGCCCATCCTTGGGTATGATGTTAACATCATACCCACATGAGTTCAATGAAGGCAAATTAAAGGAACAATAAACACTTGTTAACATTAAATTCAATATAAGTTAATGTCTGTAAATTTCAGGTTTCGCAGTCGGCGCCATGTTCGTTCGAGAAGTATTCCACGTAGCTGCGAAGACTGAAGGAGAAATTATGATAGACAATATTCGAGCGGCTTTCAAGAAACACCTGAAGCAGCTGGGCTGGATGGATCCGGAGACCAGGGATGCGGCTGAGAGCAAGGCTGATGCTATCACCGACATGATTGGTAAAACTTGAAAACAAGTGAAAATAAATAGCACCTTTTAGCCCCTAATTTGTGGACTCTAAGTTTTCAGAACTCTTTCAAATACACCTACTGTATATATTTTCAAGACCGCCTTTGTTCTAATGGTACAACTCTCTAGCTCTGTCCAAATCGTTAAACGTATTGCCTAGCATTGCGTTAAGCGGGAAAAGTCCTGGGTTCGAATCCCAGGGAAACAAAAATATATTTTAGTCGGGCAGGGCACAGAAGTCTGATCAACTATATGCCCGTTAATAGAACGGATCAGTGAAAGCCCATTCCCCCCACGAGGGGGAAATGGGCTTTCACTTTTTTTTATATATTTTCACTTCAGTATAATCATGCAATGAAATTTAACTTATATTGTAATTTAATAAAATTTAATTGTCTATGACAATAAAAAAAGTGAAGCTACGTTAATTTAATTGTTAAATTAAAAATCTGTTTGAATATACATTTGATATGAAGCTAATGCTAAATTGAAGCAAACAAGTTGACACAGGTGGGACGTGAATCTGTATTCACAGCGCTTCGTGCTGTCTATTGTTTAGAGCAGCAAGTAACACTGTGGATGGACCGGTTCGACTCCTGCCTGTGCCAACAATTTTGGTTCAATCTAAATAAGGTTTACAAATAATAATTATCATCTAAGGACTGTACTTCGTGAAAAAATTTAGTTAGGTATATTATTATTTCGTTATATTAATTACTTGCTGTATCAGCGCCTTAGTCCGCAAGAATCGTTATTTTGGGCATCATTGTTTTTTGAAACCAGTAGAGGGGGTTTTGCCCAAGGCGGGCGCGCGCCCCCCTGGCGTTCTCGCAAGTTAACCTTAAAAGATAGACATATAGCGTCGCGGACTTATTTTTCTCGCAAGATAACTTAAAGAGGAATCATTATTTCATACATATTCTTTCGATATCTTGAGCCGTTTTCGCAGCGTACGCATCTGAAACCTACAGAGATGAAAATTTTCCCCCGATTAGTGCGCATTTCTAACAGACTATCTCTTCTGCTTTATACATATCGCAATAGTGTTATAGCTTTTGGCTGGGCTCGATAAATGTTCTGAACCAACCAAAAATGGCTTTTAAATTCAAATACTACTGACTGAGACGCGTTCAGACTTATGTCAATGGCATGTGCCCCACTAGAGAAAAATATATTTTTTTTATCAACTCATTATACGTATGCCTTTACTTTCCAGGTTTTCCAGACTATATCCTGGATAAGAACGAGTTAGATAAGCAATACGACGAGCTCGTAGTGAAGCCTAACGAATATTTCGAAAATAACATCGCGTTCAATACTTTCAGCCTGAAACACGATCTGAAAAAATTGGACCAGGTCGTTAATAAAACTAAATGGGGTAAGATCCTAAAACAAATATTCTATTCCCGTGACCGTCCGCTGACACGTCGGGTCGTAGTAAAAATTTACAAGTTTAACAAGATATATCGGTTTTAAACCGTTATTTATGGATACTCGCTTAACTACAGCAGATTTCAATATGTATTGCTGCAGCATTCTTGAGGTATATAATAATATCTTATATAACGTAATAAACCCATAAAAAAACGTAAAAAACATTAACAACATACTTTTTAATTAAAACACTTTCACACTTTAAAACGCGAAATATATTTCTTAAACTTATTTCAATGCACCCCCCCCCCCATTACCACTCCCCCATTAAAGCATGCAAAACGATGGGCCGTAATTAAAATAAGTTTAATCATATATTTCGCGTTTTAAACCGTTAAAGTGTTTTTTTTTAATGTGTACTAATCGTGAAAACTAGCAGTATTTTACATAAGAAAAAGTATAAAGAGAAATTACGTAGCTTATTTTTACTCCGTGAGCATGGCTACTGTAAAAAGATCAAAATGACGTGTTTAAAACAGTAAATGTGTTTTTCATTTAAAAGCGTGTAAGTAAGTACCATTACTTAAAATTCACTGTTTTCCCCAGGTATGACGCCATCCACAGTAAACGCATACTACACACCTACAAAGAATCAAATCGTGTTCCCCGCTGGTATTCTCCAAGCACCATTTTATGACGAAAACAATCCTAAGAGCGTGAATTACGGGGCGATGGGGGTAGTTATGGGGCACGAACTGACTCATGCTTTTGACGACCAAGGACGTGAATATGACAGGTATATAATTAATCATTCTGATTAAATAGATATACTATACTATGTATTCATAGACAATAATAGAAGTGGCATATTAGTACAAAGGCAAACAAAAACTTTTTCAAAAATTAATATGGCGTGTTATGAGTATATTTGTGATATTTAATTACAATATAACGAGTATTTTAGGCGCATGAATACTTTTTAAGACTAGCAAACAACACTTCGCACGTTTAGTATTAGAGTGACCTAACTTAAAATTTAAGTAAAATTAGATAAATGCACTGACATTACTATAATAACGCCATCATCATAGTTTTATACGATTTGCTAAAAAAGTGTTTTTGTTTTTAATTCGGTCACTTTAATACAATGCGTGCGACTTGATCATAGCAACAGATACTAGAATGACAATTTAACTACAAACCTAAACTCATAAAGTACTGTCAGTTTATAATTTACTTTGTAATCTCTTACCTCTTTTACTACAATGCGTAAATTAATTAAAATACGTTGGAGACACTCAGTTCAGACAGTCAGGTTTTAAATTATATAATTTAAATGCTTGTAGGTTTGGAAATTTAAACCAATGGTGGAACAACAAAACAATAGCACAGTTTAAAAATCGAGCGTCGTGTATACAGAGGCAATATTCGAAATACAGCGTTGACGGCCAGCATCTTAACGGGAAGCAGACTTTAGGTATGTCATATATAATACGATACTATATTTTTTTTACATTTATAAAGATCCGTTATTTTTTTTTTGTACAAAAACTATTGGAAATATTCGTAGTATTTTTTTTTATTTATTAGTCAATCAATAAACAAATATCCGTTAATGGTATTGCTAGCGTCATGTTACAAAATTTGCCTACCATTTATTTTATATAATACTTTTAATTAAATATTGATTATGTTTAATTAAAGGCGAGAATATAGCTGACAATGGAGGTTTGAAGGCGTCGTACCACGCCTATTTGGAATACAGCAAGACAGCACCTAGTAATCTTACCCTTCCCGGCCTCAAATACACTCATAGACAACTGTTCTTTATTTCGTTTGCACAGGTAATATTCAAGACTATAATTGCCTATTTACAGTGCTAAAATAGCAATGTATAATAAAAAATATTTTCAGGTGTGGTGTTCAGCAATGACAAAAGAGTCTACAAAGATGCAAATTGAAAAGGACGATCACACTATAGCTAAATACAGAGTAATTGGACCGATCTCGAATCTTCCAGAGTTTTCTGAAGAATTTAACTGTCCTCTCGGTTCGATGATGAATCCTAAACATAAGTGCGAAGTGTGGTAAATTTTATATTGCTTAACCATTTCGCTTAATGAGCTTTTTTAAAAGAGAGTAAGATAGTTTCAGTGTAAGTTCTGATACATAGACTAAATTGTAAGCATACTGCATAAATTTATATTTATGTTTATAGTATGGGTAATTTAAATGATACTATACGGGTGCAGCTTCCTTAAATAATACCTAAAAGCATTTTGAAATTCTTAACTAATAAGAAATTACAGAAGTAAAAGGGCTTTTTATACATGTTTATTTCTTAGTTAGTAGTTTGTAAGAGGAAAAGTAATAGTGATAATTAGTTGATAAGAATTTAGATCTTGATTTGAATGATGTTTGTACAAAATATATTATTAGCCTTAACTGTTGTCAAGCTAATGTGTAAAGGGTGCTTTCAATTAAGTCTTTCATTGTTACAGGTTTAGTCAAGCAATTTGAGTGAACATAATCTATTAAAAATTAAAGTGACATTTATAGTAGGCTATAATATGATCAAAAGTAAATAATGAAGCACTACTTTCTCTGTTGAGTTTTTTTTCTTAAAATACCTTATTTCAGTAGCTTCTTAATTCGAAAGCGCCCGGTTATTTTTCATTATGACTGATTTTATATGCGCGCAGCATTTTAATGTTATGTGTAGGTATTTGTAATTAATTCTTATAAATAGATCAAATATTTTGAAACAAACTAATTGTGTTAATTGAAGACCAATGTTTATGTATAAATGTGCCAAAAATTTTTTTTTTTATTATTTGTCGAAAACAAAACAATTATATGTGTAACAATGTTAAATTAATTTAGTCATTAAAATTTAAACGTTGTCAAAGGTACTTAAATGTCGAAACGCTTTTAGTGTTGTAAAACGTTTGAAAATTGTATTTATAATAGAGATTAAGTTGCATTATTATATCGGTTAGTATAATGACCTAATATTTTTTAAAATCGTGATGAATCACCATAAGAAACAATCATTATTATTATTGTGTTAGGTTACAAAGTCGTTTTGTAAAATGTCTTATTAGTAATATAATATACTAATTTTTGATCGGTTTTCATTCATTTCACTGTAGCGCCAAGTAGTATCCATCGCCGTAACGTACCATACTCGACAATATTATACACTAGAATGTAATAAAAAGTTTTGTATGTGTCATTTGACATTAGAAATCACTAAAGATTTAATAGATTATATTATGGCTTTAGAAAAATAATAATATGAAATTTGGCATTTTATAATAACATCTTCTTAGAATTAAGTTAAGATCAAAATGTTAAAAGAAATAATTTGAAGAATTTTGAGTAATATTGTCGGTTTTTAATTAAAACATTTCCATTCTAATTAATTGGCGCTTTTTTTTATCTACTTGGTAATTCCTACCTCTTGTTAATATCAATGATACAGTATTGTAATATTTGAATTGTTTTTTGTAACACCTCTTCTAGGAAAAAAAAATTAGCAAGAAATGTAATGGCGCCCGAATATATTTTATTAAGTATGTAAGACCTAGTCATACATGTTAGTTACCGTTAAATCCAAGGATTTGTTTGTTATGTTTTTAATTATATTTTATTTGCAATCGATATTTGCCTCCTATATATTTTTAAGTGCTAATACAATGCTATAGGTTGATTTTTATTGTTTCATTTAACTGCAATTTCTAACTGCATTTTTTGTAAAGAAATATATTTACTAATCAGCAAACATAGTTTCTTTTCGAATAAACATAAACGCTTTGAATATTTTTAAACCATCTTACCGTTACGTTAAAAGAAATACCCAAATAATACAAACTTTGAGCAAATTTGTTATCAGGTTGGCAACCTTATCTCATATGCATATAATCTGTGACCAGAAACTACAATTTATATTATCTTTAATTCAACTTTGACAATTGACCGAAACAAACGATAACAAAAGCATTGCTGCTTTATCCCGTACTTGTTTTACTAAAATGTTTCTACAAGCTTTCCGATTGTAATTTCGATTTTGGTTTTTACCGCCAATAGTGTAAATACTAAATAATAATAAACAGGCACAAAGCCATTAAAAATATATTGTCTTTATAATTATAATTAAACAATATTTTGAAACTTATCCATATAATAATTAAATATTGAAATTATAGGATCTCCTGATATCCTTTATCGACTTTTGATCGATCTTTATAGATGGTGCAAATATTTTAGGTAAATTACAATAAGTGAGTTAAGGATATTAAAAATGGATCAGCTAGTAATGAAGACTGAAATTCATCCAAATGGAGATATTCTTCTATATTATGTGGATGGTAAGATATAAAGACAATTGTACGATCTGAATTAAACATTACTCAGTCAGTGTTCACCAAAGTACTCTAAATATTATCACTGTTCAAGTAGATATTAGTTATCGTGATTGGGTCCATAAATATTTGCATTTTTTTTTGCTACTGGTAAAGAGGTGATTTGCATGACTGACTATTGTAATAACCATGTGTTACTACTATATACATATGTTTACTTTTATTTTGTATTTTACAGAAAATCAAGAATTAGGTGAGACATCAGGTATCCTAGAAAATGAACAGCAAGAAGATATCCAAATGTTATCTGAAACTAAGTATGTGATCGAAGACACTGGTGAAAGTGAATCTGCAGATGAATTAGACTTAGCACAAGCTAGCGAACAATTAGCAACTGAACCCTGGACAGATGATGAAATCAGACGTCTTATTGTATTTTATTTAGATAATAAGGAGACATTTCAAAGTGGCACTACCAAGAAAAAACATTTATGGGCAGTCGCCTGCAAAACCATGCTTCTAGGCAAACAACCCCTATCTTGTGAGTATAAGCTGCGAGTGTTTAGAGACAAATACTTTGAAATACACGCTGAAAGGCTCAAAGGGAACAACACACAATGGCCCTTCTACAATTTGTGCCATCAAACATTTCAAAATGACAATCCAGTTGACTCATACTTAAATATCAATTGTACCACAGAAATCGCGCCTGAGAATATTAAGAAAGAGAATGTGCCCGTTGTAAAAAAGAATGTAGGAGACGCAAATGTTGAGAAAATGCTAAATTTGTATATACAATATAAAAATATTTATATGGGCAATGTCAATTCTAAAGCTATTTGGGATAGAATAGCTCGGGATATGAAAGAGAATGATGTCGACTATTGGTACAAACGCTTTTTGAACTTTAAACAACATTATATAAGAATGTTGCATAAGAGAGTATTCAGTGGAGAAGATAGCATTAACTGGCCGTACATGAAACACTTTGATAAGATATTCAAAGAAAATCAAGAATTCCAACGGAAGTATGCACCAGCTGTTAATAATACAGAGATTCAATCATGGAATGATACAGACAGAACGTTTTTAGCCAAATATTATTATGACTGTCTCCATGAGTTTCAAGATCCGACTATACCAAATATATATTTGTGGAGAGAAGTTGGCCGATTACTCGATAAAAAACCTGACAATTGTGAAGAAAAGTTTATGGAAATGAAAAATAAACACTTCGATACACTGTCACAAGGTAACTATGATTTGAATGAACGCATACCGTTGCAAATCATTCTAGATTATATAATATCCAAAGAGGTTATATTGGAGTTGGAAAAATCTAGTAAATATGAACATTTGGAAGACTGGAACACTGAACTGTTAGATGTCTTTGTGCAATTCATCTATGACAATATAAATATGGTTAAGGATTCTGTTTGTTTTTACATTTGTTTAGCAATTGTTGCTAAAAAACTAAACATAAGAGTTTCTCTTTGTTTGAAACAATGGAATAATTTGGTAGCGGTATATAAATCTATTATGTATGATAAAAAGGAAAATCCAGAAATCGAAGTTGATTGGCGGTATATAGATATGTTCGATACAATATTTGATTATGGTATGGACACTAAGTTGTTGGAAGGCTATGAAAAAGAGAGGGAACAGGTGGAACAGATATCTGAAAAAGTTGGAGGTAAGGAAATAAAGTAAATAACATTGGGTAATCTTTGAATTGCATAGAGGCTAATATAACTAAATGCATTGCATGCATTTTGGTTTGTATGTTACATAAAATTTGCTAGCATAAGCTAGCTAAAATAATAAAACACTTAACAAAGCGAAATATACAACTTAACTTATTTACAATTTTAACTATGGCCTGGTATGGATGCTTTGCACCTGCCGGGGTCACAGTGGGGAATTAAGATATATGGTGTCCCTAATGTTAAAGTCATAATTGTTACTCTACGCATCTACTTCCTCGTAGTGCATTAGTAAACTAATATATTTCTTGTCTTGAACCGTTAAAAGTGTTTTATTTAACTATGTATTACTCGCATAAACTACAAACAATGCTTAGCTAGCTATTTTTATGAAAGTAAGCTTTTTTAAATTTTTTGTGATCACCAGTAATATACATTTTATTTTTATCACTTTCAGTAAAGAAGATAAACATAAAAGATTTAGAAGATAACGAGTACAACAGCGATGTTGCCACATATAACGAAAAAGGTTATACCACCCGTGAAAAGCGTAAAATAGGCGAAGAAAAGGCCGTAAAGATATTGGAGTATTACCTTAAAAATAAAGATAAATTCAATTCGCCTAATTATAAAAAACTGACGCTCTGGGCCTCACTTGCTAATCAAATAAGAATAACACCAACGGAATGTGCACATCGCTTCAGAAATCTCAAACAAGTGTATGTGTCATATGTCCAAAAGGAAATGAATAAACCAGAAATGCCAATAATATGGCCTTATTATGCACTTTGCAAAAAGGTATTCGGCTACAGAGCTATAAAATCAAAACTTAGAAACAGCAAAGCCGATTCAAGCGATGCTGAGGACTGGTCTCCTCGTGAGATAAAGAAACTGATTAACTACGCAGTTGCTTCTAAAATAATCCTAGAGGTGGAAATTAAAGAGAAATGGAAGGAAATTGCCGAAGAGTTAGGTCGATCTGAGGTTAGCTGTTGTGATAAGTTTTTGGAGTTAAGGAAATCATATAGGAAATTGAAAACGATGAAAACTAATAATCCAGATACGAAAGTCTCGTGGAAGTATTTTAATATGTTGGACGACATTTATTCAAGTACTGTCGCAAAAGAAGAGAGTATGGATGTTGATAGCATTAAAACGGAGGTTCTAGAGGCTGGTAAGGATTATAAGTTATTTCGCCTTTAAAAAAAAAACAATTTTAACGGTTTAAGATGCGAAATATATTTGTTAAACTTATAAATCATGCATTAATGGTCTACATAATTTAAATGAATGAAAAGTACGTTAAAATTATTATCTTAAAATTTAAACCGTTAAAAGGTGCACAAAGTCTAATGTACATATAGCTTGGTAACGTATTTTAATTATAAGGATGACGCAGAAGTACCTATTAATTATATTCTTTAAAAATAATATATTTATAGACTATTTCATTTTTTCAGATGAAGACTATGAATGTATAATTGTGATACCTGAAGGGCAAGATATAAATAATGCTCAAATCATATACAAAACTGAATTAGAATCAAATTTAAACACAGACACCAAAACAAAGATAATATGGGATAGAAAATCGAAGAGTCACCTTTTAAAACTATGCTTGAAATACTTTAAAGAGCATAGTAATAAAGATATTGACTTCAATGAAATGTGGATATATATCTCTGTCGAAATGAACAAACCAGCCAAGTCTTGCAGGCGCATGTACTTGATATTGAAGAAAAGATACCTAAGTGCTAATGATAAGAAATATGAAAATCTCATGAAGAAAATCTTAACTCTCAGACGGACTCTAGGGCATAGCCCTAAAGATGGAGAAGAGAGAGTTCAAGATGTCGAAATGAGCCGAGAAAAAGTAGAAAAAGCTCTAAATTACTATTTACAAAACATTGAAGATTTCACCAATCCGAACATTGAAAAGCAATATATATGGACTGAGCTAGCTACCTCCATTTCAGAGCCGGTGGACAAAGTTTATAGAAAATTTAATTTCTTAAAACAGGAATACGCATCAAACAAAGAAACCGATTTCCAAGATATAATAAAAGAAATAATATTAAGGGAAAATTCTATAGGAGATAACTTCGATCCCACTTCTGATAATTGTATTTGGTCGGACATAGAAGTCGAGAGGCTTTTAACTTGGTACTTGGCGCATTTGGACAAATTTAAGAATTCAAAATTTGTCCAGAGCTTTCTATGGATGGAGGCATCTGATATATTAAAGAAAAGCCCTTTGGAGTGCTCAAAGAAAATGTTGGAAATCAGAGCGCAATATAGAACTATGCTGAAAGAAAACCCTGATGAATTGAAACAATGGAGGTTTTATAGTTTGTGTCAAAGGATATATGGCGTAGGAAATAAATAAAAATGTTTATACAGCAGAGAAAATGAATTATAAAATGTACATATTTTTAGTAAATAAGACATATCTATAAAGTAAATATATTATATGACGACTGTACAAAGTTTTTTCTCATGGGTAATCAATTTGGATCAATCGAATTGCCTAAACATGTTTTTTCGTGTTAATACTTTTTGATAGATCAACGGCGGCCTGGTACGCTGTCAGTCGGGGATTCCCACTTGTTACTGTATTTTTCTACTTTTCTTATTAAATATTTCTGAAACAATTCTTTATAAATCGTATTTCTTATGGTAGACAAGCATGCATCTAGTACATACAAGCACAAGAATTTTATAACCATTTCGTAAAATTACTAAATTTTTCGACGTGTTCGTCCATTGTAATTGAGACTAACATTTCTATCGGCAATAACTACAGCAAGCATTTCTCAATTACGACGGCCAAGCTTCTCAAAAAACCAAACCTTGACTAGCCTATAGGCTAGTAATATAGAATTTTTAAAACTCTGGTTGAGCTCTAATAGAACTATTGAGTGGATACTATTTGATTATTCTGTACAATTTGCTTCAGTGCGTCATGTGTGCTAGTAGGTGAGGGTGACAATTATATGGCGCAAGGTCACCCGCTTATTTAATCCTATTATCTCCATGCGGAAGGTCAGAACATGTTTTTCGAAGGTTTTCGTTTATCTGTATGTAATCCCATATATGTAGCCATAAGATATAAAAATAATATGCGTGTCTAGGCACGCAATGGGTGTGATACGTTGAGAGACTGGTGCCGTAACGTACTAGCGAAACGGTGTACCCTCGTATATGTAGTAACTTAGAAACTTTCATGAGTAGTTTTTGTCCTGAGATCGACAGTACTATTTTCGGCTTCTTTTTTTATATAGTATTATATAGTTAGTTCAGGCTAGTATCAAGCCTTTCAATATGTTACTTCGTTTTGTCCTAAAAATATTTTTAAGGAAAATTCTGTTATATAAGTGAAAGAGGCATGAAGTGTTGTAAACGCTAGGACCTAACAACAAATAAAAAAACATCCAAACATTAATTCATTTATTTATAATTTTTCTGAAACATGTTGGACTTCGTCTGGATATCTAAAACGTCAATACCTGAAACACAAAATTCTGATCTGTATACACATTACTAATACGAATGACTTAATTATATAAAATTTAAATTTAGCAGTTCACGACTTCCGTTAAAAAAACGTTATCAAAATACTTATATTACGTAAGTTTGTGTGAACCTAACTTCTACTTATGGCGAAGAACTTACATTTTGTCTTTGCCCTGCCCGACCGAAACTATTAATTATTTTTCCCTAAGATTTGAAAATAGGACTTATAACGCTTCACGCAGTGCAGCCCGTAACCACGACGATGGCTGTTGTACAGATGATTAAAAAAAATTGTTACGCGTTCTACTCCACCGTATCGAAACTACTTATCTAATCTGGGGAGCAATTCTTAATACAGTGATATATTATTCTCGTCGACTTTTGCGCTAGGCTTCATAAACAGTGGCGTACCTTGCGACTTATGTCGACATAAATCATAATGTGTTTATTTAGAATTGCCTCCCAGGCTTGCAACAAAGTACTAGGGGTTGGTCTAGAAATTTTCCTTTACATAATTAAAATTTCATTGGTACGCAATATAACATCTTATGTAAAAAACAGCAGAATTACAAGGACTGGTCCTATGACGTACGTCTTTCTTTATAATATACTAGCTGTGTCAGCGACTTTGTCCGCGTAGAATAATTATTTTGGGTAAATACTGTCTATAGTTTACGCGAGTAGTACACAAATAAATAGTAAATAAAACACTTGAACGGTTTAAAACGCGATATATTAGTTAAACTTATTTGAAAATGATTTTTAACTTCGGCCCGACGTTTCGGATGCTTTGAGCAGCCGTGGTCACGGGGGTCTCCCGTGCCACGGATTGTCTAACTAATATATCGCGTTTTAAACCGTGAAAGTGTTTTATTTAAATTATTTTGGGTATCAAATTTTGTTTTTGCAACCCTTCTAACTATAAATTTAAGCTATTACCCACGATGACGACCGCGTCCCAACATTCTTGCAAGTTAATTTTAAAAGGTAGACATAAGTACTGTCGCGGGCTTTTTAGATCGTTTAAAGCGGAATCATTCTTATAGTTATATATATCATATTATATATATAGGTTATATATATTTTATGGGTAGGTACCTTGAATCGTTTTCGCATCGTACGCAGCGTAAACCCACTTTTGCAACTTAAGTAATATATTTCGCGAACAAAAAACAATCTACGAAATCTGTTAGATTCTGTAGATTTGACATTTATTCTAGAATTATCTGTACTCATTCAAGAACGCGTAAAGTCTAGAAGGAATGCATTAGTTTCTATTCTCGATGTAAGGCATTGAATACATTTTCAGCGTATATTAAATTGTATTATGTACAGAAGCCTTACAATTGATATCTGTAAAGCCTGCGTTGTCTACCATCCACTGCCAACATGTACAGTTTGTGGCCAGTACAGTGTGATATTTCATTAAATTTTAACGTTTTTATTTAATAAAAAAAATATCAACTGTTCTTTTTATACTGTGTTTTGTGAAGAATAAGTTACAAAGGCATTAAAATAGTTTAGTGTGTTACGTAACGCATTAGTTAAAATATTTTCAATTTCGACAAAGATTACTTTCAAATAAATTTGTAATCAATTGCGTGAATAGTTTTAAATCTTGCTAAGTTTAGTGTAGTAAAAAGTATAGCTAAGTAGAGCAATTAAATAGGTCTGCAACCGTTTAGCAGTTTACTGCATACCTTAAAAGGATTCATGTGTAACGACTTTTTAATGGGGCAAAATCGCAACAAATGCACGCGTAAATTACAAAAATTGGATTTCTAATTAAATTAATTGGACATGCGGAGTTGACACATGCACACTGTATGGTGTGAGTGTTTGTTGTGAAATTATGAGACTAAAAGTGGACATGTACGCGTTTTCAACGATGCTCTTGTTGCTTTTACGAATATCGAGTGGCCGCGTGCATGCAGCCGTCAGTTTTCTGTAAGTATTGAATTTAAATACAGTTAATTCCGCTTAAAACGATTCCTCAGGGGCCCTACAAAACTCATCTTAGGCGTGAAAGTGCATTAAGCAGGATAGGGAAATAAAACGTACGATATAGTATAGAACATAATGCTCTATTATTGGTATACATGTATAAATTACATTAATAAGGTAATATGATTATAGTTACTTTATTTGAAATAATCCCTTACTTCGATTAGACAGAATGATACTAGGTTTTTTTATACGCGCTATCTTGCATAGTATGGACAATTTTAAACCTCGTGCTTGATGAAACATTCCAATAATAGTTTTTTCAAATTTATCGAATTTTCAACATGGCACCTAACGTGGAAACCGTAAATCTCAGAGCTGACATTATCAAACAACATGCTTCATATGTTGTTTGTGATTTTATATTGAAAACTTTCAATATCTCAATTTTTTCTCGCTCGGTTCGACGGATGTATCGTATAACCCGTGATCGGTCTTAAACGAGTTCTACTGTAAAATAATCCAAACCAGATTACACGTACAGACACATACACATGCATAGAAACCTAATATAAGAAAAAAATGGGTTCAAATTAACACATGGTAAAGAACTCTCTCGTTTGGCCTCCTTTGTCCATGCTTCCCGTCTAGTTTTAGTCCATTGTGCGCCAGCAATCGCCTGTATGTCGTCATCTAGGCGATAGTTGGTATTTATGGTCACCCTCTGCCCTGTTCCTTTTGGGTTCGACGGCCACCTTTCGTCCTCTAATTTTATCACATATCCCGTCCATCTCCACTTCCAACTGGTACGAACTACGAAGTACAATCCATCGGTGGCTTTTATGACTTTTCTTATTTGTGAAAACTTTATTAATTTTTACATGTTATTGCACATGAAGGCATTAATAATTTAAAAATCAAAAATAAATTTAAATTTTTTTTTGACTCGGGCAGGACTTGAACCGGCATCGTCAACGAGACGGTATTGCTAATATATACCTTATATTCTTATTATTTTCTATTAAGGCCGCCGATAGAAGTTCAAGTGATCTTTCTACAGTAGCCGATAACATTTCACCCATTTCCCCATTCTCTCTTTGCGAAGGATTTTGGGTTAAGTCTCGCTGTGGGAGAAAACATACCGGCAAAGGTGTCTTTAAACCGTCCGGTGTTTAGCAAAATCTTATTAGTTTTATTGACGGATTCGTTGGTAATGGTAGCATTGTAATAGGTTAATAATAATCAACGGGTCGTGGGTTCGCCCCCACCAGGTTCAACATATTTCCGATCGATTTATACGGGTACCACCTTCTACAGATGAAAAATCCGTGAAATTTTATCGCGTTTCGATTTAAATCTGTGGATTTTCGAATATCCAAAGCTATGTACACTCCGTATGAATATTTTTCAATTTTATACCAGTTGTTTAGCTATTACAATCAATAGCGTAGCTAGGTGGACAAGGGTCCCGGTCTAACTAATCGTTCTCATCCCCTCTTTTAGCATAGCTTGAAGTAAATTTTAGCCAAAATTAAAAATAGCAACAAGAACGTTAAAAATTTATTTTCTTCTACGCTAATATCTTCTCAAAGATAAGGTTAGAGGGTCCCTAAGCTCCGGGGCACTGGTGCACCACCTGGCTCTACGATAGCTACGCCACTGATTACAATCAGGCGTAAAAATGTAACTGGTTTGGTAAAAGTAGACAAAAATATTGATACAACTAATAACTACTGTATTAATATATAAGACTAGCTGTGTCAGCGAAATCGTCTGCGTTCAGTTATTTTGGGCATCAAAATTTGTTTTTGCAACCCTGTCCAACGCTATAAAAAGCCGTTACTTACGACGTCGTCCGCGTCCTGTCATTCTTGTTAGTTACTCTTAAAAAATAGACATATTTTTAGATCATTAAAAGAGAAATAATTCTTCCATACATATTTTTTGGGGGTTTTTTTTAAATACTGTCTATAGTTTACGCGAGTAGTACACATTTAAATAAAACACTTTAACGGTTTAAAACGCGATATATTAGTTAAACTCATTTGTAAATGATTTTTAACTTCGGCCCGACGTTTCGGATGCTTTGCAGCAGCCGTGGTCACGGGGAGACTTTCCAAATAAGTTTAACTAATATATCGCGTTTTAAACCGTTAAAGTGTTTTTTTTTTACCATTTTCGCCCCAAAAACCTACAAAAGTGAATAATTTTTCCCGATTCTACACATTTTCCATCGTTTCTTCAATTTTATTGGTCGCAGTATTATACAAAATAAACTAAAGTCTTTCTCGATAAATGGTCTTATCAACACCTAAGAGTTTTTCAATTCGGCCCAGTAGTTCCTGAGATCATACTAACAAAGTCTTTAGCTTTACAATATTAATATAGATTTATTTTAAGTATGTCATCTATTCAATCCGTAGTGCATTCATTGAAGCCTTATTACATGAGAAGATTATAAAGATTTAAGATACTCAAAGGTATTAATGAACTACCCTCTTGCTTCCAGATCTAATTCTTCATACCAAGAAATGGAGTTTAAGGGCGAGACCAGTCTCTCCCTCCGCGACATCTTGCCTGTTAAGGCGAAGTATTACGACAAGAATCGCGCTCCTAAGCTACTAGGGGAACCCACGATAGTATACTTCCACGTCACTGTGCTGTCACTAGATTCTATTAATGAGGAGAGTATGGTAAACACCTTGTATTATAATTCTTCTGTAAGTAGAAAAAAGTAGGTATATAAGTATATTAATAGGCTATCTGACAATGCGAAAATTATCAGTATTAACATATTATATACTAAATACTGTCTATAGTTTACGCGAGTAGTATACATTTAAGTAAAACACTTTAACGGTTTAAAACGCGATACGGTCACGGGGAGACCACGGCTGCTGCAAAGCATCCGAAACGTCGGGCCGAAGTTAAAAATCATTTTCAAATAAGTTTCACTAATACATCGCGTTTTAAACCGTTAAAGTGTTTTATTTAAATATTATATACTTTTAAACAGTAAAACAGTCACATAAAAATTAACGATCCTAATTGGTTGCGTTTATGACGTCACTTATATAGAGTGCTATAAACCACCGTGCTACTTAGTGTTAAAACTGTTATATTCTCTGCAATAATAAATAAATAAGTTGTAATCTAGCCGTATTGCAGCGTTATTTCGCAAATTTATCGTTAAGGCGTGGAATTTAAATTTTTAATATTTCAGTAAATATCTATTAGAATTGAAAAATACTACTTGTCTAGTGGTTTCCTTGGCATCTACCAAATGATAACGTACACTTTGCATACCAGTCAAATAGCCAATTTTGCCGAAAAGTTTTAGTAGTATACTATAAAAGTAGTAACAATGCGGTTTGACTTATAATGAATAGTGCAATTTAATTCAAAGTTATGGATTAAAATGATATTAGTGCAACAGCTCTTTGAGATAGTAAATTTAAAAAAAATCTTACAGAGCCTCTTAGCGACAATTATTATCCAATCGTGTTAAATAAAAATTATGACATCGTATAATTTAGAAGGACCAATAAAGCTGTGTTTTTAAAGTGTTTTGATTTTCTTGTCGCTAAAGTCCGTTTTCCAATGGGTCTAACATTTTTTTAATGTGTTTGTTTAAATAAAACACTTTAACGGTTTAAAACGCGATATATTAGTTAAACTTATTTGACAATGATTTTTAACTTCGGCCCGACGTTTTGGATGCTTCAGCACCGTGGTCACGGGGTCTCTAATATATCGCGTTTTAAACCGTTAAAGTGTTTTATTAAATGTGTACTACTCGCGTAAACTATAGTCTGATCAATCCGAATATTAAATTGTTTTGTATTTTAAAGTCTACAAATGAATTTCAAATATGCAACACCGATATAGGTAGCGCGACCTGTTTAGATTTTGTTTTGGTATTTCACTTTCAGTAAAGAACTTTTCAGTAAAGATATACGTCTGTGTATTATGTAAGTTTATAAAACCAATTTCGCAGACATATTTTGGCTTCTTAAGCTCGAAGCTGTTAATGGCTGAATGCTTTTAATTTGGATGACTGAATCGCAATACTTTTAAACGTGGATGATTAAATCCCAATACTTTTATCGCGCTACAGACGTTTGACCTTTTTGTTAAAGACACGATTAGACATTTCTCTGTAAAATGAAATGAGAGTAGCATAACATAAGAGAACACCTAAATTGCACAGAGAAGTTCCCAACGACATGCATATAAAAGAATTTGTGCTCATGCCTTCGTGATTCCAAAAAAATATATAAAAAACACGTTTCTATTTATAGACTGTTCCTATTTACCATGGAATTATGATCCATTCATATCAGATGAACATATTTACAAATTATTTTAACTACGAACCGATGTTTCGGATGCAGCAGCCGCGGTCACGGGGAGACTAAAGATAGAGAGTGTCTCTGATGTCAAAGTAAAAACGTTAGCGCCATTTGTCCCTTCATAGTTGGTATTTGGCGAAACTGACCGACTCCTCGCAGAGTGATCGGGCCGTAGTTGAAATATATTGTACATAAGTTTAACTAATACGTTTAGCATTTTGAACAGTTAAAAGTGTTTTATTCCAATATGTATTACTAGACTACAGATAATGGAATTATGGTGTTGACATGTTGGTTTTCAAAACAAAGTGGGAGTAACTTTCTGCCAACCCATACCTTGTTTTCCAGACTTACGTAGCGGACATCTTCCTGGCACAATCATGGCGCGACCCCCGGCTTCGTCTGCCGGAGAACATGCACGAGGAGTACAGAATCCTGGACGTTGAGTGGCTGAATAAGATATGGCGTCCAGATTGCTTCTTCAAAAACGCGAAGAAAGTCACCTTCCATGAGATGAGCATACCAAATCATTATCTTTGGTTGTATCATGATAAGACGTTGCTGTATATGGCCAAGTATGTTTTGGATTCCTTAAGATATGGTTATAGTCTTTCAATTTGTTCCACCAGGATCAACGGGTCTAGGGTACTGGTGTTATTTTGAACATGCGAAACGTTGAGTTTTCGTTTAAATAACTTAACTATACTAGTTCGCATGCTAAAGCGTTCTTCGTCTCCTGCCTCTCCAATACTGAAGGTTCGCCGTTAGCTTTTGAAAACGGCTGGTGCCATTTGCGCGATCCAGCAATGCCTTGACCGTCTCTATTCCCGTCCACTCGCAGATGTTCCGCAGCCATTACTTCTTCCTCCTTCCTAAGTGTCTTCTGCCCTGGTTTTTCCCCATCATCGGCAGTAGCGAATCCTTTAAAAGTGTTTAATTTAAAGCTTATTTTTTGTTTTACTAGGTTAACTCTAGTTCTCTCGTGTGCGATGAAGTTTGAATCGTATCCTCATGACACTCAAAGCTGTTCAATGATGATTGAAAGTTGTAAGTTGTTGCTTATTTTGTAGATACAGCTAATATGGTTATATATTTTGACCTATTTGTCTTTGGATATTTGGAAACCCCCCAATTGAAAACAAAACGCGGTTAAACATTACGAACTTTATAGTTCGTGACCCGGACGAAATTTTGGTAATCCTACCCACTTAATACCCGGATTTCCAACAAAAATGTTGAACCGGTGGGGTTCGAAATCCTTTGACTTTTTAACGAGGCCGCCAAAAGATATAACAACAAATATATCTAACAATACCATTTTTTTTTTTTATTAATAGAAATGTATTTTTTTTACGCAAAATTTAATTTGACTCCCATATACGAAAAATATAAGAGATATGTATGTCTATGCATACCTCATTTACTTTTTTAGATTTTTCATGTATAAAAGGTTTTATAATTGTTCCCCATTTCAGTATCACACACTGTCCATGATCTGGTGTTTATTTGGAATTTGACGGACCCGCTCGTCGTCAATCCGGATATAGAATTACCACAATTGGATATTTCCAATAACTACACTTCGGATTGTACTATAGAATATTCTACAGGTTAGACTACTGACTTATGTCACAAATTAATTCTTATTAATTTTACTACTAGCGGATCCGGCAAACGTTTTGTTTGTTTGCAAGATTAATCTTATTATGTTGATATAACTGGTAAATAAAGAAAAAGTCAATGTGTGACCGATTTTTAATATATGTCTAAACCTTAAAGCCTTCCTAGATATATGTAACTAACAAATAAAGAAATTTTCAATTCGAAGCAGTAGTTCCGGGTTTTATCGCGTTTCAACAAATAAACAAACTCTTTAGCTATATATGTATAGATATACATTCAATTTGTAGACCAGGCCCGGATCGGCGTGGTCGTGGGTTTGAGCCCCGTCGGCACCGAAAATGTTAAGTCCTACTTAAAGTAGTTTACGCAAGTTTTTGTGTATGTGAAATCCCGTTACCCCCTCATGGGGCATGGGGCGAAAACATTTCTATGTCTGTTTCATTGATCCGTTAATTAACAGGCAAGTAGATGATCAGACTTATGTGCCCTGCCCGACCGAGACATTTGTTTGTTTCCCTGGGATTCGAACCCCGAAACGTAAAGCAATACTAAACAATGTGTTAAACCATTTGGCTACAGAGGCGATTAACGCGAGTAGTATACATTTAAATGTTCTAATCGCAAAATATAATAGTTATAGTTTAATTAAACCAAGGCATCCGAAATGTCGGGTCGTAGTAACTTAAAATAAGTTAATTAATATATCCCGCTTTTTAAACACTTAATAGTGTTTTCTTTTAATCATGGGTCGTGGTGTAGATTGCATAACGTATTTTTATATTATAACTTCTTGTTTTTTTTTTCAGGAAATTTCACCTGCTTGGCTGTAGTATTTAACCTTCGACGTCGCCTCGGCTACCACCTCTTCCATACATACATACCGTCGGCGCTGATCGTCGTCATGTCCTGGATATCTTTCTGGATCAAACCAGAAGCTATACCCGCGCGGGTCACTCTTGGTGTCACATCACTTTTAACTTTGGGTAGGTGAACATACTTTAACGGTTTAAAACGCGAAATATATTCGTTATTGTTATGCATAACGTAACATAGCATGTCTGTAACTAACGCGAGTGTACTACATTTAAATAAAAAACTTCTAACGGTTTAAAACGCGAAATATATCGGTTAAATGACGGCTTTGTGAACGGCTAATGCAAATCATCCGAATTATAATTATAAAACCGTTTAAGTATTATTAATGTGTTCTACTCGCTTAAACTACAGAAAGTATTTAATATATTATAGAATTAAAAAAAGAGTAGTTGAAAATATGCAACTGCGATGGTTTAATTTATCTTACACAATATAGTTACAAATTCTATTTCTACTTACGTACTACCAATTTATTACAACGAATAATAAGGATTATATTATATATAGGAATAAAGATAATCTAAAAAAAACTAAGATGCTGGCATTAATTTTAACTAAGAAGATATTTATATAACGCACTGTTAACGGTTAGAAATGCGACAATTAGTAACTGTTTGATATACCTATAAGCACGACGTTCGGAACTTTGCTATAATTAAATTATTATTATATAATTCAGTTTTAAACCGTAAATTATTTTATTTAAATGTGTAGGTCTGTTAAACAGACGACAATTACTACAGACAATAATAAAATAAAATTCGACGCGGACGGGGCTCGCACTCACGATACAATGTTTCAAGTGTCAATATATAATAAAAGTAATAGGTATTTTTGGAAATAATAATACTGTGACAATTTAATTAAACTGAAACAAAATGCATGTCAACTTTAAATAAAATATGTTGTTATACCAATTGAGCTACCGTACTGTACACGTCACCTTCTAGTTGAAAAAGTCGTGTTTTAAGTAACTAGATAACAAATACAATATAAATCTTTATATATCACAATAGACATATATATCAGCCATGCGAAGTAGGTTTATCGACACTCGAACTCAGGAGCAGCAAGTAGGAGCCTTGTAAAAGATGTTATCTTTTCAGCAACACAAAACACGCAGTCCCAACAGAGTCTGCCGCCAGTGTCCTACGTTAAGGCCATCGATGTGTGGATGTCCTCTTGTTCTGTGTTCGTCTTTTTGTCTCTGTTCGAGTTCGCAGTTGTTAACAATTACATGGGCCCAGTCGCTACTAAAGCTATGAAGGGGTATTCGGATGAAGATCTATCCAGAGATCTGGACGCTTTTAAGGTATGTCTAATTCTTAAGTTTAAATAAAAAAATGATGAAGTGAAAAAAATGCGACACGGGGGAGGACTTGAACCTGCTTTCACAGTGCTGCGTGCTGTTGCTCTAACCGATTGAATTTCCGCGTCCTACACGTCATCGTCGAATTATTTCATATTATTGATACATGCAACTCTCACGCAATGTAATTTAACCTGACGCTTGTGTATTCAGGTTCAATGTCTTTTGCTTTGCAGCTTAAGAAAATCATTGAAGATCAAATTAGTAAAATATTTAGTAGTTATCATTTAAAATAGTTAGTAGGGATCGTTGGTCTAACGGTAGCTATGTGTGACAAATAATCAACAGGACTTCGTATAGATATCTGGATGTTAAGTGGATGGTAAGGCTATCGAAATTCCGTCCGGCTCACGAACCACCGTCCGTAGATAAAATACTATGGATGGATTCTTGATTATCCAAAGCCCAAATAAGAAGACATCCAATCTATTATGGTATGTGTTTGCGGTACTTCATCCTTCATTATCTCTTTTTATCGTAAACGAGCTATACTTAATGATTCATGATAGTTTAAAGGCTTTTCATCAACTTAGCCCGGAAGCTTTCTTTTGAAGTGAAACATTCTATAGCGGTGTTGAGTACTTTTATGGTAATTTGTATGAAACTTGTAAGTAATGGTATAGTACTTTTATATTGAATAATGCAGTAATTTAAATACTGTCTATAGTTTACGCGAGTAGTACACATTTAAATAAAACACTTTAACGGTTTAAAACGCGATATATTAGTTAAACTTATTTGGAAATGATTTTTAACTTCGTCTCCCCGTGACCACGGCTGCTGCAAAGCATCCGAAATGTCGGGCCGACGTTAAAAATCATTTCCAAATAAGTTTAACTAATATATCGCGTTTTAAACCGTTAAAGTGTTTTATTTAAATGTCTATGGTAACTATAGACAGTATGCAGTAATTTGTTTAAAATAATTCTATAACCTTTTCGAAATATCAAAATAGCAAAATGTTTTAATTTTAAGATCTGTCGGCACTGTTACGGTATGAGCCGTAATATTTTTATTGTTTTTTCTTTTCTAGACTACTTTGAACACTGATTTAATAATATTTTGTTAATAAACATACGTTTTTAAGAAGTTTATTATCTTTATATATAGTCCTATATAAATATCGAATCCACAATGATTACCTGTTGCTTTGCAAATTATTGATGCACTATAAACAGTTTTATAAAAATAAGCCCCAAAGCAAAATTGCTTCTCTCTTACGATTTCTTCGGACCCTTTCTTTAAAACACCAAACAGTAATGTCGCTTCTCTTTTTGGCAGCACATATTTCCCAACTCGGTGGACCCTCGCGCCAGTACATCCGCCTCTCTCCCGCAATACGACACCTTCTGCAACGGACGAGAAACAGCTGTATACATAGATCGCTTTTCTAGATTTTTCTTCCCTTTCTCTTTCTTTATACTCAATGTCGTTTATTGGTCGACATTTCTATAATCTTGAGGATTTGTTTATAAAATAGTGGCATTTTAAGAACTTCTCTAAACTTTCGAATTAAATAGAGATTTTGTTCTTGATGCGGAAGCGCAAGTAAACGGTTTTTGTATTTCAGTCAAATCACTAGTTGATTCGTTTTGGTTTTACTTATTTTAAGGTATAATTTTAAAATATTTAAGGTATAAGTCTGTGGATATCGCAATGTCCAATGCCAAAATGGGTCGACAGCGCATCACAATTATATATAACATAAAGGAGATGGGCCTTTTACCTTACACCAAGATAACTTAATGCTTGTCTACCCTCCTCTATATAAACCAAGAATATAGTGATTTATAAAACATTTTAATGTTGAAAACTTTAGTAGTTCTTTCATTTAATTCAGGTTTGTCTTGTATTTAAACTGCCAATTTACTGTAATTTACCAATATTCAGGTTTTCTACTTGTCATTTTAATCGTAAAATAGCTAATTAAGTATTTATTATTTTAACGTTGTCATGGTTACGTAATCGGTTCTAAAAGTGTTTTATTTTTATCTAGTCATTATTTTATTGATTAGTCTGTAGGCTTACAATTTGTCATCTGTGCATATAGATTTAGTAAGTTGTTAATAAATTATGTAAAAAATGTTGTTCTTTTATTAAGAACTAGCTGTTCCAGCGACTTCGTCCGCGAGAATCGTTATTTTGGGCATCCAAATTCGTTTTTGCATACCCCATCATCTTTATAAATTCAAGCTGTTACCCATGACGTCGGTCGCGTCCCTTCCCATGACGAAGGACAAGGGACAATCTTGCAAGTTAATCTTTACAGATAGACAAGCGTCGTGGGCTTTTTTTGATAATTTAAAGAGGAATAATTCTTTCTTACATATTTTTTAGGTATCTTGCAGCGTAACCGTTTTTGCAAATGCATCGGAAACCCACAGAAATGAATAATTTTCCCCGCTTTTCTTACATTTCCCGCTGTTTCTTCGCTCCTATTAATCACAGTGCCATGTTTTATACCCTCTTCCTCGATAAATGCTCTAACCAACAAAAGAAAAAGATTTTTTCTATTCGAACCAGTAGTTTCTGATTTTAGCGCGTTCAAACAAACAAACTCTCCAGCTTTATATATTAGTATAGATTATGCACCTCGTTCAGGTAGAATAGATTTTATATTGCAACTTCGATTTAATCACGAGTTAAGACTTATAAACACGCAGTGTATTGGTTAACTCATTAACAATTAATATCGAAGCCCAATCGAAACAATCTATTGTTTTTAAATAAAACACTTTAACGGTTTAATACGCGATATATTAACTTATTTAAAACTGATTTTTAACTTCGGCCCGACGTTTCGGATGTTTTGTAACAACAATGGTCACGGAGAAACACATGTGCACGGCTTCTGCAAAGCATCTGAAAGGTCGGGTTAGTTAAAGTGTTTTGTTTAAATGTGTACTACTCGCGTTAACTATAGACAGTATTTAATCTATTGTTTTATTAGTAAAACGGACTCAAAAATGTGTTCGCCTCATGCCTCATAGATGGAAATGGGTAACACAGCTCGTGTTTAGTATTGTCTGTAGTTTAGACGAGTATTATTCAGTGAAATAAAACATTTTAAACGGTTTAAAATGCGAAATATATTAGTTAACTTATTTACAATTTATTTTTAGCGACAAGAAAGCAGGTATCACTAGCGAAGCAGATTTGACACTTGCCATCTTAAGTCCCCATAGTGACCATAGCTGCTGCCAAGCGGCCAAAACGTCGGACTATAGTTAAAATGATCTCTAATTAAGTTTAATATATATCGCGTTTTAAACCGTTAAAGTGTTTGTATTTAAATTCCTTATCATCACACAAAGGCATCCGCTATACTTGCAGTATAGCATTGAATAGCTATGAAAAGATTATTATTTATACCGTATTTAGTACTGAAATCCCGTTTTCCCTCGTGGGGCATATGGCGAACACATTTCTGGGTCAGTTTCATTGATCGGTTTTATTTACAGATCAGTGAAACGGACAGAGAAGTAGTTGATCAGACTTCTGTGCCCTGCCAGACCGAAACAATTTACGGTTTCCCCGGAATTCGAACCCAAGACCTCTCGCGCTTAAAAGATTTAAGTAAAAATTTACATATTAAAAATGTAGTTAGTCGGATATATATGTATATCAAAATATAATTTGTATATAAAACTCTTTTAATTAAAAATTGTAAACTGATACATAAATAAGAAGACATGAATATGGTTGACACAATATTGCTTTAATTTATATACAGTGAGCGTTAAACAAATATAAAGTGTACTTTTACTATTGAGAAAATAACAATAGACACATAAACTAAAGACAAGCTAGGGCTCACTTAACTTAAGTCCGTTTGGTATGGCATCTCGCTTCTGTGTAGGGTTTTTCTCAATTTAGGCGCCATTATATGGGGCCAGTCACGTCATATCGGATGATGCAATTCCATATTGATGTTGCGTCATTTCACTTCTGTGTAGGGTTTTCCTCGATTTAGGTCCGTCCGCTGTGGCTTCGCGGGAGTGAGTGTGCGGGGCGGGAATGCTGGGGCGCCATTCTATGGGCCCAGTGACGTCATATCGGATGATGCAATTCCATATTGATGTTGCATCATTTCAACGTAAAACTAACATTATACATTTATACAAAAATTAAATAGTATAATTATAAATTTGGTTGAACAATCGTTTTATCAGTAACTAAATCGTCTTATTTATAAAGAAAAGCTTTACATAAAATACATGATTCAAAATAAGTTATAATTGTATGTCTTAAACAGGACACTGTATTTATAATGTACTAATTCGGTTTCACATGTTAATAAGTTGTTATATAGTTATAATAATTAAACGGTTACATTTACATTTGTCTTAATACAATTTTGTAATATTTATAGAATATCTGTATGACTTTAGAGACAAATTGAGATTAAAACATAACTTAGTGTAACAAAAGAACTTAAATTATCAGAATAATCTAACACGGCCAGACTGATTAGTACTTCGCTCTCGAAGTACCTTTAAATCGCATTTTTATATTCATAAAAAAAAATCAAGTCTCTGACCTTGTCATATTAGTTCTATCATTATTCATTAGCTGCTCCTGAATCATCAAACTAATATCGGGGCTGTGATCGCACAGTAATTCATACAATAGCCTCTGGCCTTGACATATCAGTTCTATCATTAGCTGCTCCTGAATCATCAAAGTAATATCGGGGCTGTGATCGCACAGTAATTTATACAATAGCCTCTGGCCTTGACATATCAGTTCTATCACCTGCTGCGCATGAATTTCAGACTGACATCAGGGCAGTGACTGACCAGCAGTTAAACAATAAATAGCCTCTGGCCTTGACATATCAGTTCTATCATTAGCTGCTCCTGAATCATCAAACTAATATCGGGGTTGTGATCGCTCAGTAATTTATACAATAGCCTCTGGCCTTGACATATCAGTCCTATCACCTGCTGCGCATGAATTTCAGACTGACATCAGGGCAGTGACTGACCAGCAGTTAAACAATAAATAGCCTCTGGCCTTGACATATCAGCCCTATCACCTGCTGCGAATGAATTTCAGGCTGATATCAGGGCAGTGACCGACCAGCAGTAAAGAAGATAAACTTATATTCATTTGATCAATTCACAAAATACTGTTCAATGTGTAATTCGAACAGCAATTCATACAATAGCCTCTGGCCTTGACATATCAGCCCTATCACCTGCTGCGAATGAATTTCAGACTGATATCAGGGCAGTGACCGACCAGCAGTAAAGAAGATAAACTTATATTCATTTGATCAATTCACAAAATACTGTTCAATGTATAATTCGAACAGCAATTCATACAATAGCCTCTGGCCTTGACATATCAGTCCTATCACCTGTTGCGAATGAATTTCAGACTGATATCAGGGCAGTGACCGACCAACAGTACATTAAACGATCATAATAATCAACTAAGATCATAGATAGAACTAATATCAGGGCAGTACGTTAAAAAAAAATAGACGGTCATAATAACAGAAAAAAAAAAGATCGTTTAGTAGCAAGGAAACTATTTCTTAAAGTCCTTTTGTATGTCTCCGTTAAAGATCATTCTTTCACGTTCTCACCAGGGCTTCTTGTCTGATAATGGAGTAGTGTTCGAAGGCCGTGTGTCAGTTCATCACGTCTCGATCAGTCCCGGCGTCGTTAAAGATGTTTTTGCTGATCGTCCATAATTCTCAGGGCTCCTTGTCTGGCGAAGGAGTAGTGTTTGATGGCCATGTGCCACTTCATCACGCCTTAAGCAGTCCCGGCTATGTTGCAGATGTTCTCGCTGATCGTCCATAATTCTCTGAAACTCATACTTGATGTATTAGTTTGGATACTTATCTCAATTATTCATCCAAAGTGAGGGCTTTTTATTTTTACGTATTACGATTCGTAACAAAATTAAGCACAAAATCTATTACTAGTATCTTAATACGTCGCTGATTTCTTTTTAGAAATTTATAATCCATTTGCATCATCAAAACCTTTCAATAAATTTAACAAATTACGTGTCACACCCCTTTATAAGTACTTAAAGTACACGTTAATATCTTTATTTCAAAAAAAAAAACAAAACGAGAAAAAAAAAACAATGTGACATAATAAGAAGAAAAAATATATATATATAACTAGACGAGCAAACATGGCGTGAGGTATTTTATTCACTGTATTGATTCGTATCCCGCTTCTGATAAAAAGATTTAAGTAAAAATTTGCATATTAAAAATGTAGTTAGTCGGATATATATGTATATCAAAATATAATTTGTATATAAAACTCTTTTAATTAAAAATTGTAAACTGATACATAAATAAAAAGACATGAATATGGTTGACACAATATTGCTTTAATTTATATACAGTGAGCGTTAAACAAATATAAAATGTACTTTTACTATTGCGAAAATAACAATAGACACATAAACTAAAGACAAGCTAGGGC